TGAGTGGTGCAGCCCCCAGGGAACATATCAAGCCGATTCTGTATAAGTTACATTGGCTACCAGTTGCTGCCCGGGCCCAATTCAAAGTGCCTGTTTTGACATATAAAGCCCTAAACGGCTTGGGCCCTGGATACCTGAAGGACCGCCTCCTTCCATATGAACCTACCCGGCAGTTAAGATCTAGCCAGGGTTCATTATTTTAATATTAGACCTTCTGAGGTTATCATCCATAAATATAAGCTTTTTATTGGTATCAGAAATTTGCTGAGCCATGGACACAATTTCTTCTTTATTTCCTTGAACTGTATCACCAAGGTCCCTAATTTTACTCTTCATGTCCTTTAACTCCTGTGACACCCCTGAAATTTGATCTTGAAGCTTAGTGATGCTTCTTTCGATGGACTTAGATCTTTGCTCTGTTTTGTCAAAGCCTTCAGACATTTTACAAGACCGTAAAATAAAAACCTGGTGAGAAATCAGAAATTTTGACTTATTGACAAAAATCTCCTTCTATAAAAGCAAAAATATAAACAGGAAATGATGAAACATTTATCTTACTATTTCTGCTTCTAACTATTTAAATAAATAAATAAATAAATAAAAGGATCCAACCAGTAAAAACCTGGTGAGAAATCAGAAATTTTGACTTATTGACAAAAATCTCCTTCTATAAAAGCAAAAATATAAACAGGAAATGATGAAACATTTATCTTACTATTTCTGCTACTAATCTAACTATTTCTGCTACACAATAGCTATTTTAGGGAGACAGTTTAGAATGATATATTTTCGCCTCTTTTCTTAAATAATAATAGCCTCAACTTATTATTTTACATTTTAATCTAGATGGTATAAACATATCGGTTCTGATGTGCTGATGGTTCAAGTTCCACTGAAACTGATGGGATTCATGGAAATCAACTTTGTGCACAGTTGAAGTCATAGGAAATGTCTAACGTGTTATCTCTTTGAGAATGCTCTAACAGGACCTTTTAAAAATTAATAACAAAATTCTAACCCAGAATACATTAACTGAAATCCACATTTAGTACACTTGAATCCATCTGTTAAAAGAAGTGGCTATATTAACATCGCTTAGTGAGTTTTAAAGCCATAGGAACGCATTGAACGAAGTTCAATGCGTTTCTATGGCTTTTTTATTCCTGTTTAGCGATGTTTTCGCATAGCGAAGGTTAATCCGGAACGGATTAACCTCGCTATGCGAGGCACCACTGTATTTCTTTACAATGTGTTACTGAAAACTTGGAAATGCAATAAATTGTTAACACCAACTCAAGATCAAGCAGTGTGAATAGAAGAATCTGCAAATTCTCGGGGAAAAACTAATCTGGGAGAATTTGTCAAATACATTTAAGAAACAGGGATCCTTTCTGATAAGGGCTTTTATTTATTAGGACTGCAATATTTACTATCCTCTGAAAATTCACATTTTTTCTTTAAAAACAAACAAACGAGCAGCAAATTATATTAGTCTAGTAAATAATAATAATAAAAGAGCATGCCTCACTGGCAGTATCACAATGTTTTTCATGACTTTTTTCATTTACATTCAATATTCCATTCCATTTTGATTTAGGAACCAAATGTAAGAAAGATTCCCTCCTTCGTGTCCATATTTTTCCAAATATATATGTACTTGAATGCCCTTAAATTCCCCAAGTAGAAAGAAATGCTTTCTCTAGAACTGCTTATTTCCAGTAACCCACATCAGAGTTGACACATGAAAAATGGTGAAATTACTGAAGGTAGTCCAGCCTGAATAAGGACTACCTTATTAGTTCAGGTACTTGCATCTCCCTAATTTTCATATTAATCATGTACCCATCTTTCTCTGAAATAGGGCCATCATGCTTCACGTCAGAATTTAGCATGTAAGTAAAATTCATAGTGCCTCAAATCCCACTAGAAAATATTTGCCTGGTGTGAACAGAGTGACTAATTTTATTATTGTGAGCTTAGAGTTTCTTAGAGTTTGGGGATTAAAAAATCAACTTGTATGTTAAAAGTGAACACTTCTGGCATTTAAAAATAACCAGAGATCCGTCACAAAAATTCAATAACAACAATGGTCCGCTCTTATTTAAGAGAGATGTTACACACTGTAATGCATCTATGTTATATATTTCTCATCAATTTTTACAGTTTCCACTGATTAAATATATATTGACTCATAAAGTATTACCATTACACCAATTGTCAGCAGATGCAGGGGTATGCCATTTAAATATTAACTATCATATAAAAATGGCATCTTGATTGTATGGAAGTAGTAATCTCATGCTTGTTATTGCCATATTTCCCTAATGCATCAGGAGCAGTCACAAAAACATTGCCTTTCATATATACCTGCTTCTATGTTGCTACCAATAAATAAAAATATTTTAAAACACATTTTCTTTAACTGTAATTTTACTTGTCCCTAAACTTGAAATTAAACACACACAGCTACCACCATGAATTGCTAAGATATAAGAGTACTGTGTATGAATATATCTATGCTTTAAATATTAGATATCATGCACATTGTCTAAAAGAGAATGGGAACTACATGAAGAAAAAGAAACGCAAACTACAGCAGATTCAAACAAGTCAATTAACACTGCACATCTTTGCACCCATGAGGTGCTTGTCTATGACAATCCTCATGTAATGCATGTTGTTTTTATGAAGGATCCTTTTTGAACAAGATTTCTTTTGTTTAAAATAAAGAAAATGGCATCAACTTGAATCTTCTGACAAAAATTGCAAGATAAACTCATTGGTGGTAATACAACACACATACTTTTGTTTCTTTATAATTACATTCTATAGACAATTTATAGACCATTAAATCATCTAGTAACTGATAGGCAATTGCTCATTCTCCGATTATACAGCCATGTAAATCAGACAGAAGCTTATGGAAATACCATACTTCCTTTGCCATATAACATGCAGAACTCACTGCTACTGTTACAAGCACATTCTTTTTAATGTGAAGAATAATTTTTGGTCTTACTACTGTTTTTAGGATTTGAAAGACAACTCAGAACAATGATGCGTTCTTACATTCTTCTGAGAATTGCATGACATTTTCAAAATCAAATTACCAGTAATATGTACTTATTTATTTATTTCAGATACCTGTATATCACACAACTTAGTGACAAGTACTACGCTGGGCAGTTGACAATAAAAAGAGGCATATTCTGATAGCCAACCACCACAAAGAAAAACATTACATAATTCAAATAAAATTAATGAACCATCAAGATCTGTGTAAACCTAAAAACCTAAAATATGGCAGAACCAGGCCATCTATCTTTTATCATAAGGTAGTGATATTTCTACATCTGAAAAAAAAACATTTTAAAAGACAGACATTTCAGTTATGACTATACACCTTATGTGATCATGGTAACAGAGCTCCTTCTAGAAAGCATCTCTTAAAATTCATTACAGGCGGGGCCAGATCAATCTTTACTCTGGTCTGCTTCTGCAAGCACTTCTCCTGGTCCACCCTGACCTAAATTCTATGAATGAGACAAGGAACAAGGCACCCTACTTAAGCAAAACGCAGTGGAAGCCTTATGCATTTTTCAGCTGCTATAGATCCATGAGTTTCCATCTATACAGTCAGGACTGTATAAATCTTGTTTTTTGCTATTAAGTATGTGTAAGTATAAACCTAAATATGACCACAAAGGTAAAAGTTATTACAGTAGTTCTTTGAACTTCAATGAACATGAGGAATAGTCACATTAATATTAATGTTTTATACTGATCTTTGTGCTAAAAAGATTAAAATTACAATTGTTTTGATCTTTATTGCATAATTTTTACATTACAGGTATGTCCATGAAAACAATCCTAATCAAGAAATTAAATTCCTTAATTGTTAACATATCCAAGTAGATGAAAGTGAATCAACAATTTATAGTAAGTACATGACATCTTAATTTTCTTTTAAAAAGAGGGAAAATATTTTAGAAAAGAAAATAATTCAAGAAATTTTATGCACATGTGCTCTGAAGATAAAGGATTAATGGCATCAACCAATTAACTAACAATCAACATTTTTTTCTAATTACTAAAAGTATTAACAGATATCAGATCAATTTGGAGTGTTTGAAGTGCCTTAAACCCACATTTTCATTTAGTTATTTTTCTAAGTTAAAGTCACTCTACATATTTTCCTTCTGTTTAGATGAAAGTTTGTTTTTTGTTTCATTTTTAAAATTTTACCTCATTGGCCAGTTCCAATAATACAGGAGAAGCTGCATTTGTGGTCACTCCCGTCAGGTACCTATTTGAAAATAAGAAGAAAATACTTCTATAGTTTTTTTTTTTAAGTTAGCATTGATATTATAACAGTTTTCTCTTTCAGTACAGCTAGAAAGAAAATTACTTAGCAACACTCTAGCTTAAACTGTAAACACTTGCAAATGAGCTCCTGGTCACCAAAATCTCCTGATGCTTCTCCTTCATGATCAAAGCAGCAGTATCTATATTACACCATAAAGAAGAGAAGCTGGCATGATATTGTATAAAATTATAACCATTTCACTGACAGGCAAACAGGAGTGCTTCATTTGGAAAATGTGGTTTTGTGCCCCATATGTTGCGATCCGGGTGGCAGAAGTGAAAGGCAATTAGTTTGGAAGCACTTTGACTCCTATACACCAGCCTCACTGTTTGGTTTGTACTAGTAAACTGGTGAATAAAAAGGCTGAGTTGAATCTGATTTACTGCACACATGAAAAAACGTCACATCCCACATCATGGACATTTTAAACCTTCTGAAGCAGAAAATATATCCATACATATGAGTTAGGGCTCCCCTTGGAGATCTTACAGTCCAAAGTCAACTGGAAAGCCATTTCTAGTTCAGAGCACATTGCAGACCTCCTAAAAGATGTCCAATTCAGTGTCCAACTTTGCCCACAGAGACCAGAATTCAGTTTGGATTCCAACAATGAACCAGAATACTGACTTCCACTGTACCACTATTTTATGACCTCACAAACCATCACCTAGCAGTAAAGACAAAAGGTTTAATTGGATGTGCCAATTATATAAGACGTTGGACTGCAACAACTCAAGCTGGAGCCTTACCCTTTTAAATTCTCAGTAGCTTTTCTTGAGAGCTTAAATGCTCCATAAGTCTGCTCTACTGTTTAAAAATGAGTACAAAAACATCAAATACAAAAAATAGATCTCTTATGAAGAGAAAAACAATAGAATAAAATAAAAAACAATTACTGTAATCAAGCAAGTACCTACATATCTATTCAAACATTCAGCTGAAATAGACATTACAACTTTTCATAATTTATAAAGATAAAATTATTTTCTGAAAGTAATGAACAAACTGCTTGCATAATTTGAAAGCATGTTTTACACATATGTTTTGATAGGTTAGCAATATTACTATATTCTTTTAGGAGTAATCAGATACTATTACAACCAGATTTGATGTCATTTACTCTATTTACCATATTTGTTGCAGCTTTTTTTTGTGGGGGGTAGGGTTAAGCAACAAATTATTTTTAGATTTGTTCTAGATTTAGCCAGACAGGATCATTTTGATCCAAACCCCATTGGTTTTTAACAATCATTTTCTCTTTGGATCTATTTGGGTGGTATATTAGCTGGCATTCCGAATGCAGTCAGAAGAGAGCACCAAGCCCTATACCCTCAATCATCTCTTTGTTCCTGGTTTTAATGCTGCCTGAGGAAGGCTGTTGCTTTTCTGTTGGCATGGGAGCCAGAACATAGATTTTCCAACGTTCTCACTTGCATTTTGAGCCTACAAGTGAGAAGTAACTCCCTACTCTTGAAACTGAGCTCTGAAAGAATGAACAAAGCAATGACAGAGGAAATTAATCCTGTCTAGCCATGTTTAAAATGCCATATAATGCCTAAACCAGACCATTATATTATATTTATTTTTTACTCTTGGTGTTTAACTGAGTGCAGACCCTTATAAAAGCCACTAGTACTTTCCCAGGAACCTGTTCCTAAGAATTGTTCCAAATGGTGGAGAATACGTAAGATTCTCATTCTCTGGAATCACCTATCTCTTGTTAGATTCCCGAGGAACACACATCCAGCTGAGCCCCAATCAAACTTTGCCCATCTGCAGGATGATATGATAGGCTGGTCAATGACCATAATAAATATTTATTATTATTATGATAGGCAGTACGGAACTTGTGTGCTTTTGATCTGGCCTAGAAGTGAGCATTCAACTGATTAACAAATAATTAAATATTGTCCTGTCTTCAAGAATCTAAGTGGACAACAGGTGAAAAATAGTGCAGAACAAGGGCAACTAAAGCTTGGTAAAGTTAATTTAATGTAATTTAATTTATATGCCACTTTCCTCCCCACAGAAAACTGAAAGCATTAAAACTGATTTAACACGACACAATGGTCACACTTAAAAACACCATAAAAATATAATATTAAATACAATTAAACACACAACATTAAAAACTACCATTAAAGTTACTTTGAAAAACACTTCTAAACCCCATAATCTTCTATATTCAATAAACGGAGTATTGCTAATACCACCACTTGTCCAAATCTCTTAAAGTCTGCTTTAAAAAGGTCTTTGTCTGCTAGCAAAAGAACAAGAGGCAGGGGGCCTGTCTGGCTTCCTAGAGGAGTGCAATCCACAACTTGGGAGTGGCCACTCTGTGGCATCGTCACTGAACAGGCCTGTTAGAGTGGAGAGACGTTGAGAAGGGCTTCCCCAGAAGATTTTAAAAGCCAGGGGGAGTCATATGATTTGGTTCTTCAAATAGCCTTGGACCCAAACTGTATAGAGTCATAACCAGCACTTGAATTGTCATGAAAATGGACCAGTGCCAGAGAAGCTATTGCAATGAGGGAGTTATATGCTGCTTGTGGTTAAACTGCAGTGGTTACACTGCAATACTGCAGTAAAGACTCTGCTCATGACCTGAGTTCATTCCTGATGAGCTCAGGTAGCTGGCTGGAGGTTGACTCAGCCTTCCATCCTTATGAGACCAGTAAATCAAGCGCTGAGCTCGCTGGAGGAGTGGGGGCAATATATAACTTGCATAATTAATTGGAAACTGCCCAGAAAGTGTTTTACATTCTATGAGGCTGCATTTAGGCAGCACACTTTGGTTTTTTGTAATCAGAGCCAGTCAGTAGTCTGGCTGCAGCAATTTGAACCTGCTAAAGTTTACTCTTCAAAGACACCCTGTGTAGAATTTTTTTGTAGTAATACAAACAGGAAGTAACTAAGGCTTCTATCGCCATAGCCTGACCAGAAATCTCAAGGAATGGGCACAGTGGGGACATTAGCTTCAAATGCGCAAATTCACTCCTTGGCACCTCTGAAGCTGGGGGGACAGTTGCTTTGGCCCATGGCGTTCATGTCATGGGGTTCCTCAGGGCTCAATACTGTCCCCCATGGTATTTAACATCTACATGAAACTGCTGGGGGAGTTCATCAGAGGGTTTGGGCTGAGGAGTCAGCAATATGCTGATGATACTCAACTCTACCTCTCGTTTTCCACCAATCCAGGTGAGGCAGTTTCTGTGCTGAACTCGTGTCTGGACCTGATAATGGACTGGATGAGGGTTAATAGGCAAGACGGAAATGCTGTTAGTGGGTGTTTCGCCAGACAGTTTGGAGGGCCATTTCCCTGCTCTGCACTCCCCCTAAGGGACAGGGTTCGCAGCCTGGGGGTGCTCCTGTACCTGGGTCTAAACTCTGGAAGCTCAGGTGGACTCAGTGGCCAGGGCTGCCTTCCTTCAAGGGTCTAAACTCTGGAAGCTCAGGTGGACTGAGTGGCCAGGACTGCCTTCCTTCAACTGCAAAAATTATACCAGCTACGGCCCTACCTGGACGAGCAGAGTCTCATGACAGTTACACATGCACTGGTAACATCCCATATAGATTACTGCAATGTGCTGTATATGGGGCTGCCTTTGAAGACAGTCAAGCAACTACGATTGGTTCAGAATCAAGCTGTGCAGCTGCTGAGTGGTGGGGCTGCTAGGGAACACATCAGGCCGATTCTGTTCCAATGATACTGGCTACCAGTTGCTGCCCGCTGCTAATTCAAAGTACTTGTTTTGACATATAATGCCCTAAACATTTTGGGCTTACTTGTTTTGACATATAATGCCCTAAACAGCTTGGGCTCTGGATACCAAAAGGACCGCCTCCTTCCATTAGAACGCTGCTGAGTGGTGGGGCTGAGCCAGGGGGCCCTCCTGAAAGAGCCACCCCTCAAGGAGGTAAGAGGGATGGCTTTTAGACAAAGGGCCTTTTTGGCAGCTGCCCCCAGACTATGGAACGCCATCTCAAGTCAGATTCGTCTGGCCGACACTGATGACGTTTGGCACCAGGTCAAAACCTTCCTGTTCCAGAAGATTTTTTTCAAAATTTAAATAATATCATGCGAAGCAACCAACATGAATTTGACACAACTCCGGGAGGCAGTGGAAGATAGGAGGGCCTGGCGTGCTCTGGTCCATGGGGTCACGAAGAGTCGGACACGACTAAACAACTAAACGAACAAAAAAAACGAGAGCCACCCAGAGACCTTTGAGTAGTGTGGACGGCAAACAAGATAAATAAATAAATAAACTCACACATACAGGGTTGATTCAATTCAGGACTACATAAAGCTGCAGACCTTACTTTTCAGGGGAATGTAACCCCATTTACATCTCAAGCTGGATTTCCATCCTCTGATCTGTTTTCTAATTGACCAGCAGTACCTCTGTCTTGCCTGGGTTAAGTTTCTCTTTGTCTACCCTCATTCAGTTTATTAATGACAACAGACACTGTTCTAGGCCTGGAACAGCTTCCTTAGAATCAGAGAAAGAAGAGATAGAACTGGTTGTCATTAGATACTGGTGGCACCAAAGCCTAAAACTCTAGGCAATCTCCTCCAAACATCTCCTGTGTTTTAAGCATTGAAAATAACATGTATTTCTTATAAGTAAACGAATACTACAAATGAACTATAATTTATTGTAGTTTGGATTGGGTGAGCCTATGCCATGGTGTGAGAACTTACTTAGCAAGAACATACCATGCTAACTCTCCAAGTATTCTTTTAAACTGTATTTTACAACATTAACTGCTAGAAGCAAGATTGTCCTATTACATGGAGGAGGAGGAGGAAGGCAGGGCTGTGGGGAAAATGATGGCATGCGCTATGGTGGTGATTTGACTGGAATTCAAGTTCTGCTTTTAGAATAAGAAATGCATAGACAATTAAAATTGCCAACTACTCTATAGCCTCTGTGAGA